TGCGATTATGACAGTAGCTGGGAGCTTCTGTCCTTGCTCAATTTCCCAAAATTGGTCCGAGCCTCGTTCGGTTAACACTCGGGACTCCCGGAGCCCCGTCCAAACATACCAACAGGTTTGAAATCATAAAACGGACTCGCTCGAACTCTCGGAACGCGTAAAACAATATCAAATCTAAGAATCATACCCTAAACTAAATTGATTCAAACTTAAGAATTTCAAGTTCTTCAATTTACTACCAATGCGCCGAAATATACTTAAACTACTCGGAATGACACGAAAATTTGTGTGCAAGTCTTAAATCACTATACGGTACTATTCCCAAACTCGAAATTCCAAACGGACTTCAATTACTCAAAATCCTACTCCAAACCAAATTTAAAGAATTTTAAACCTTCAAATAGTTGATTTTTACTATTAAGCGTCAAAATGCTCCTGGGTTATCTAAAACCTGATCCGGACATACGTCCAAGTCCAAAATTATCATACGAACCTATTGAAACCGTCAAATCCCGATTCCGGGGTCGTTTTCTTAAAATGTTAACCGAAATCAAACTTGACCTTTTAAGGCTAACTTAAGGAACCAAGTATTCCGATTTCAACTCAAACGCTTCCAAATCCAGAACCAACCATCCCTGCAAGTCAATAATCATTAAAAGCACATACAGAAAATTTTATTTTAGGGAACGGGATTCTAAAAGTTAAAATGACTGGTTGGGTCATTACATTATAAATGAGCATGTTGTTTCATGAATGATGCCATAATTTTGGAGATAAGACTGCAAAACCTGATTAACAAATTCTCCACCATTATCTGACCTAAGAACTCTTAATTTAGCTGAAAATTTGGTTTGTGTCATCTTATGAAATAAGCGAAAGCATTCATAAACATCACTTTTATTCTTCATTAGATAAAGACATGTCATATGACTACAATTATCGATAAAGATTACAAACCAACGATATCCAGTTAAAGTAGAAACGGGAGAAGAACCCCACACATCAGATTGAATCAACGCAAAAGGTTCAGTCACCTTACTAGTACTCAAAGGATAAGTGGTGCGATGACTTTTAGCTAATACACAAACATCACATTGAAAATCAGAGAGATTTCAATCCAAAACAATGTTGGAAATAAGTGTTTAATGTAGCCAAAAGAAGCGTGGCCAAATCTTCAATGCCACATCCATATTTGGTTTCGTTTAGCAAAAGAGGAACCCTAACTGGTTAGAGAAATACCACGACATACATCGTCTACATAATAAAGTCCCCCCCTTTTAGTACCACGCCCAATAATCTCCTTGTTGTTGAGGTCCTGAAAAATGCAGAAATTGGGATACATTAATACTAGACAATTTAATTGTTGAGTTACTTGAGGCACAGATAAGAGATTATTTTATAGTGAAGCAATAAATAATGTATGCTCCAGAGATAAGGAAGGCGTCAAAACAAAAGTTCCAACACTAGTAACTGGAGATGATACACCATTTGCATTGGACATATGTGAACGATGTGATATTTTAGGAGCCTGTAGAAGAGACTGATCAAATGTCAAGTGATCAGTGGCTCCGGAGTCAATAATGCATCTCGTGTTTATGTCTGAATCCATATTAATGAGAGCTGATCCAATATTACCTAATGAATGGCTAGGTATATCAGAATCACCAATCTTAGTTAAAACTAATGATGCAGTTCCAGCGGTTGGCAATGAAGTGCCTGATAACACCGTTGCGGCAGCTTTTCCCTCATTCTTTTCACCCTCATTTCGATTGCGTCGCTCCCGGGACTTCTTTTCATTTAAATCATCCCACCAATCTGGATAGCCATGCAATTTAAAACAATTTTCTGCACCATGTTTAGGATTGCCACAATGAGTACAACCCTTTTCACCGTTGTTGCGAGTTTTTAAATGGTAATTTCGATTATGAATCAAGGAAGTTTTTACTACCATAGCCATACTAGGATCTATAGTATTGCTTAGCATTGTATTCCTTCGTTGTTCGTCACTTCAAACCATAGCAAAAGCAAATTCTGGATTGGGGAAAGGACTTGTGCGAAGAATATCACTTTGAACACGATCATAAATATCATCCAAACCAGCCAAGAAAATATAAACGCGTTCTACCTCAATCTCTTTCTGTCGAGCATGAATAACATCAGCTTGTGTGAAAGAGATTGGCTTCCGATGATCTAGTTCCTGCAATATTTTGCGCAAATCTGCAAACTATGGGAAAACTGATTTTCTCTCTTGTTTCATACGCATAGCTTGACAAGAGAGATCATAAATAACTGATCTATCAGACCCTTCATAATATGTTTGAGACACGGTGTCCCAAATACTCTTGGCCGTCGGAAGACGAACAAATAAACTCATAATGTCGGGTTCCATGGCACCGACAAGCCTACTTTTAACAATAGCTTTATCTATACTCCATTTTTCATACGTGGCATCACTGGTGAAGGATTCCTTAATCGTTCCCCTTAAATATCCCAGTTTTCCACGACTTACAACAAAAGTCTCAACAACTTGAGACTAAAGAAAGTAATTATTGCCATTGAGTTTCACACCAAAACAAATGGAAACAGGTTCTGGTACAAGATTGGTGTTCTTAAATGAATCACTCATGATAGAATAAGAATAAAAAGATGATGATAATCAGAGAAGCAACCGTTGCTCTGATACCAACTCAAAAATGGGTGAAATTGTAATATATTTCATTATGAATCAGCTATACAATATATAGAGTTACACAGATATGAAAAGATATTTATAATCCCAAAGAATATACTAGTACAATCCTAGAGAATATGCTAATTGATTTATAATTAAGATGACACCTATTAATTGATTACAAGATATACTCTTTGAAAGGAAAGTCAATCAATTTACATAATAGCATTTAACACTATGACCACAGATTTTCCCACTTAATTCTATACTGTATTGGATCATTAGTATTAGATTCAATATCAGTTAGAACTTTCTGCACAAAATAAATAAATAAATATGTCTATGGTAGGTTCAAGAGGAGTATGATGCCTGCCTGTCGTAATTGTAAGATGTCTAGAGAAGCCAGCAAGAGTCTGTCAAGAAAATACATACCAAAAAAGGAAGAAACAACAATGTTGATTTTGAGCTATTCCCCAATCAAATTCCAATTCTCATAATAATTATATATGCACCCATTCTGTCGATATCCTCCTTAATGAGCAACCGCCAAACACATGTTCTTGTAGGGAAAAAAAATCATACTAGATGATTATATCAAATTAATAAATGCAAAATAAACTTATTTTGCTTGATCATAACTAGTTGATATACCTTCTCTCCTCATTTATTCACATAATAATTTATAGTTTGATTTTGTGTAAACATCCGGTGTGGATAAGCAAACAGCCTAAGCTTTCTTGTTGATTTCGCAGGCAGCCGATTTTTCATGCTTTGGTCTCATTCTCTCACCTAGCGAGACCACAGAGAGCTAGGCCTCGGTGCAAGTCAACATATTAGAATATCAAATTGATGTGGCATTCCCGACTTGAAAAAGGTTGGTAGACTTCAAACTGGATCGGCTAGACCTAAGTAAGTAGGCATCGAAGATTTTACTGCTTGTGTATATCACTTACTCAACCAAATACTCTCTTGAAAAAACAAAAATACAACCAACGATCATAATAATAATAATAATAATAATAATAATAATAATAATAATAATAATAATAATAATATACTGATGATGTTGAATAAGACAAGTCTTTATTGAAAAGGAGAAACTTCCCAAATATACCAACTACTCTCAAGATTACATATTTTAATATTTAAAAAGAAATTAACTTTAAATTTTAATTCTATCCATTTTACCTCCCTCAATGAAAAGTTTTTGTTAACACACAAGTATTATAGCCCTATAAAACTCTTACCCTTTAAGTTTCTAAGGCCACTTTTCAAAAACTTTTTTCTTAAAACTCCATACCAAATTAAACTACGTTACATACATTAATATGGATGGAGTCTAATTTGTGCCGAACACTACAAATCAAGTACTAGTGCACCGACGTCCCCATAGGAATTTGATTCTCTAGCAAAACATACAAAGCAGACACAGAGATGCCCGATCTAGATTTACAATTCTTCCTAAAAATGTAAAAAGTAGGAATGACGAATGGATACCCGCACTTCATCGGCTTGACTTCAAGCTCTTGTAGAGTATCTCCTTTTGCCTTTGAAGTCCTTAGAGAGCACGGGTGTACAAAGAAAATCGATAAATCCCACCAAATCGATAATCCGAGTTAAATCGGGAAAAAAAATTCGATGTGATTTGATTTGGTATTGGAAAATAAAACTCGACCATAATTGATTTGGTTTGGTTTTAACTAAAAAAAGTCAAACCGAAACCAAATCAACCCGATAGTACATTTATATAATTTTTATAAATATTTTATACATATAAATATTTATTGTAATGTAATTTATAAATATTTTTTAAACTTTTTCACAATTTTATCTTTTAACGTATTATTTCAAATTTAGACTTAACATTCTTGAATGATAAATAATTTTATAGCCCAATTAATATTAGTACTTATTAGCTATACTTATTTTAGCATGACCTATATAGTATTTTTAGATTATGAAATTTTCATTATGGCTTATTAATTAGCAATATTTGTTTTATGTAATTTTATTATTTTATCTTTGTTATTGAATATTTTAGTATAATGCTATGACTTATCTCATATTATTGTGTTAGTTTCTTGGAAAACACATTATATAGTTGTATTTTACTAGGACTTAAGAAATATTTGGAGCACAAGTTATATATTTTATGCTATGAAGATTTCACCGGAAAAAAAAACCCGAAAAGCTGGAAAAACCGAAAAAACCGAGAAAAACCGAGATTGAAAAATCTGACTTTGTTGGTTTGATTTGGTTTATAAATTTAAAAATCCGACACCATTGGTTTGGTTTGATAATTGAAAAACTCGAACCAACCCGACCTATGTACACCCCGTAAAGAGGTCCAAAATAAGTGTTTTACTCATCCCCAAATGCAAATGTTTTTCACAACTCTCCACAACGTCTTGTCGCACCGTCAATCACATAATTTGGCTACTATTCATGATGCTTAAATGCTGGCCCTGAGGTGAATAGCTCAAAATCAAGCAGGTGTAGACTTGTTCTCCATTTACTTTTACTTGGATGAAGTCCCTCAGCTCCAACAGAGTTATGTTCTCAATCTTCTTGAGGAATTTAACCGTGCCAAAATCATCCCAGTTGTTGTTCCTTTGGATTCTTCAGTCAGATTATCAGGTTGCGTGGATAAATTAAATCAGCTCCTGAATCATCTTTGTACAGGAGACTGTTGGAAAGTTGAATTTTCCGCACTACACCAAGCCTGATATTTCCTTCACAAGTCGACAACTTAGTCACTTCCTCAGCCTTGCAAGAGTTCCTCAAATGCTGTTATGTTTTCTTTGACATCTGTTGAATGAACTTGTCCTAGCAATCTTGTTAAGTAATTCAACAGTTTTTTCTTTCGAGGCTCACCTTAACTCAGATTAGACTGCTCCTATTTCTAGAGTGTTATTTCTAGTTATTTCATTACAATTCCTGGGCTTTTTATCTCTTTGAAGTCCAAGAGATTATTCACATTGTTTTATTATCTTATGTTGCGGTTGACTATAGAGCCTTACTTAAACCTGTTGCAAAGCTAGCGAGCTTGGATGAATAAGTTATTGGGCCCTCTGTTTCTGTTGCTCTACCAACACATTGTGACAGCCAGATTGCCAAGCACATTGCCCAAAATCTTATTCTAACTGACTCTTCAAATTAGCCGAGTCTTTTTTGTGGTTTTGCCTTGATTCTCTGATCTTGGCTGGAAAGTGGGTACAGAACGCTCACTTTAAGAATGCAGCCCCGTTCGTATTATGGAATGCAATACCTCCAAAAACTGGATGAGACAACTTAACCAAGAAAAAATGAAAAAAAAAAGGGACAGAATCACAACCGAAAAGCAATACCTGAAAGAAGTACAAGTATCTTTTGCAGCCAAACGTTAAGTCCATTACCAAATCTCGATCACATGAATAGTTTGTTTTACCAGCTACAAGCCGAAGAAAAGCTTGAACGACGTTAGCCCCAGCTGCTGTATATGAGAACATCTGCACCCTCGTTACACGGAAAAAGAAACCTCCCATCTTGTACTTTCACTGTTCTACACAATAATGGATTTATCAACAACCTACTACCAATGCACAGTAACAGAAACATCCGTCTCTCTACAAATCAAAAGCCTACAATGAAACACGCAAAAAATAACCCGAGCACCTGATACTAAATAAAGAACATCTATAGTTTAGAATGGAATAACTCAAATCGAAAATTAAATTGATTATAACATAAATCCTTGGATATGCAGAAGAATCACTATAATTAAATTGTTCTATACAACAGCGATTTCACCTCATTTATTTGGAGTTAAACAACTTGATCGCTATCACCAGCCTTCAAATATCAAACTATCACGCATATCCGCTGTATTGGCAAAAGATAAATTGGAACAACAGCCACCAATACCAGTTCTCCACGAACGTGATACCAATTGCATTTCAAGTTTAACAGACAATATCATACTACTGCAAAATTAAAAATTTCTACCGACAACGACAAATCAGAATGATGGCCACCAATACCAGATTTACAAAGCGACTCAGGTGAACCCTCAAGTTTTCGGGTGCAGAAAGCTCTAACATTGCAGATCTCCAACTAGTATTTAAAATTCTCCGAGATTCATCGCAATTATTTTTCTTTTGTTCGCGAAAGATTCATCGCAATTATTTTTCTTTTGTTCCCGAAGATTCATTGCAAATTCATTAGAGCTTATAATAATATGATCGTGAATGATAAACAAGAGCAAGGACACCTCTAATGCAGAAGGAAACTTAAATCAATACCAGTTTGGATACTCTATCAGCAGATAATCAGCTCTTCATTCTGCTGCAATTAAAATTCATGTCTGTAGATAACATCTGTATATATGTTAGCCGTAACTTATCAAATTCTAGAAGAATCAAGTTGAAAACATTCCCCAATGTTTAGTTGTGAATATTTTAAACCAAAATTACACGCCTATAATGCATACCTGAGGTCCAGCTGCCAATGTACAACAACCAACTTAGAAGTTGCTTCGCCTATTAGATAGATGAAGTTCGCATGGATACCATAGCAAGAAATTTCACAGGATAATTGGTTTATTAGTTTTGGGATTACAACTGTGATGAAATGCATGTTCGACACTTTGGGAGATAGGAGATCGCATTCGTCATCCTCTACAGCGCTAACTGCACAAACTTGCAACATATATTAAACCCGAATTAGGTCGCTTCCATTGACAACGAATTTAGAATAATTGTGCTAAGCATAAAAATATTACTAGGCTCTTATAAATTGGTCGTACACCTACGCATTATAATCAATTGGCAGTTCAAGCAGAAACGTCTTGTGTTTGGGTTGCTTCAATTGACAACTGATCTTGGAATAATTCTAGTATGGATGCGTCAAAATATTAACTCTTATTGTCTTACAAATATGCATTATAATCAATTGCAAGTTCAAGCAGAAACGTGTTGTGTACCTGACGTGGGAAGCCAACTAAGAATAGCTCGTTGAGAATTTGCAATTAGGTCTGACGATTGATTTAAGCATCTATGCAAAGTGTAAGGAGCACAGAAGAATTAGAGAAGCGAGAAAACACACACACACCATAGGAGGGTAGAAATCCCGGGCCAAAAAGTTCCCGTGCTATCTCCACCCCCAAAACCCGCAAAAACAAATCTTTATTAAGTGAGCGACCTGCCATGAGAGCGCACCCGACATGGCAAAGGCCAGAGTTATAACAGATCAGTAATTTAAACGGGACTTGGCCCCCTGAAATTAGGCCTTTTATGTCCCCATTATACCTATTACATCTTCGTACAATAGCAATTAGCAAATTCCTACGGATGTTCTCCACGCTTCTGAATACATAACCTTGATTGACAGCTTACAATATGGAATTAAATCCAGCAAACCACGCCAAGAATTTTAATTTGTCTGCATTCCATCTTTTTGAGCCAAAACCTTTCCTGTACGGCAAACCCCGGAGACAATTGAGAATAACAATGGAAACCTCCAGCAATTGCCAATCAAGTACCTACAAGGTAAAGCAAAAGAAATCTATGTAACCATGATTCTTACCAGAGGCAAAGAAGGCAGGAGAGACCATCTTATCAGCGGCCAACGCGACAGCTGAGATTGTAGTCTGTAGAATCTCAAAAGTTGGTGCTGTAGTTAAGGGAATATTGAAGCCTATATATAAGATGGTAACCGACTAAGATAACAACTTTTTGCGTGGCGGCGACAGAATCCTAGGAGGAAAACATAACCGACTTAGTACGATGTTTCGTTTGTGGCGGTTGATCCAATGATTAGAACAATCTGGATTTAGCCACTGGTTCTGTGACATGTGGTGAACTCGCATGTCCTCTTCCGAATTGAAAGCTTAACCGCAAGCAAGTCCAAGACCAACCCACACGAGTAGAAATGGCGTGGTATAGCCAGTTTTGTAAGTTGTATTTACTTTTTAGCTAGTGTTTTTAATGTTGAGCAAAAATAGTCATTACTCTATTAAAATTGATACGAAAAGTCTTTTTTATCCTTTCTTTTACACTGCACACATGAAGTTAAGGACACCATGTCCTTAACATTTACTCAGCACATATAAAGTTAAGGACATCATGTCCTTAATATTTACACATCACTCATGAAGTTAAGGACATTATGTCCTTAACATTTATATTGCACACATGAAATTAAGGACACCATGTCCTTAATATTTACACTGCACATATGAAGTTAATGACACCATGTCTTTAATATTTACACATCACTCATGAAGTTAAGGATATTATGTCTTTAACACTTACATTGCATACATGAAGTTAAGGACACCATGTCCTTAAAATTTACACTATACATATGAAGTTAAGGACATGATGTCCTAAAGTTTAACAACAGAAGTTGCAAATACAAGTTAATGATATTATGTCCTTAACAATTACATTACACACATGAAGTTAAGGACACCATGTCCTTAACAATTACACTGCACATATGAAGTTAAGGACATGATGTCCTAAAGTTTATTAGCAGAAGCTTCAAATATAGGATACTTTTTTCTTAATATTTACACATCACTCATGAAGTTAAGGACACTATGTCCTTAACATTTACACTGCACATATGAAGTTAAGGACATGATGTCCTAAAGTTTATTAGCAGAAGCTTCAAATATAGGATACTTTTTTCTTAATATTTACACATCACTCATGAAGTTAAGGACACTATGTCCTTAACATTTACAATGAACACTTGAAGTTAAGGACACCAGGTCCTTAACATTTACACTGCACATATGAAGTTAAAGACATGATGTCCTAAAGTTTAACAACAGGAGGTGCAAATACAAGTTAAGGACATTATGTCTTTAACATTTATATTGCATACATGAAGTTAAGGACACCATGTCCTTAACATTTACACTATACATATGAAGGTAAGGACATGATGTCCTAAAGTTTAACAACAGAATATTATGTCCTTAACATTTACATTGCACACATGAAGTTAAGGACACCATGTCCTTAACATTTACACTATACATATGAAGGTAAGGACATGATGTCCTAAAGTTTAACAACAGAATATTATGTCCTTAACATTTACATTGCACACATGAAGTTAAGGACACCATGTCCTTAACATTTACATTGCACATATGAAGCTAAAGACATGATGTCCTAAAGGTGCAAATACAAGACACTTTGTCCTAAATATTTACACAACATTCATAAAGTTAAGGACACCATGTCCTTAATATTTACACAACACTTATGTCTAGCACAAGGGTATTTTTGTCCGGCAAGTAAAAATTTATTAAGCACTGGCTAAAGACTAAATACGTTCAAAATAATAATTAAAAAATAAAAATATCTCTAATCAGTGACTATTTGTGCACTTCCCCCACACATGACATAACTAAGTAAGCCCATCAGAAGCCTTTAACGTTAGGCCTAAGCTCCTAACACTTGGCCCATCTATTCAGGCCTAAAATGTGTAGGGATCCTTACACAAATAGCCGGCAATATTCACTATTTACTTGATTATACATAACTATACACATATAATACATAAGTTATGCATATATTATATATTCACTGCTATTTTTAGTTCAAGCGAATGGGTTCACTGCTATTTTTAGTTCAAGCGAATGGGTGTTCGGCTCGTGAGATATTTACATAAGTTATACACGTTTATACATATTACATTACACATATAATATATGTTTTCGGTTATTTTTAATTTAGGCAGTTGAGAGGAAAACTATTTAGGTTAATTTTTGTTGAAATTGGAAAAAGAGTTTTTTATGTTAAATTTAGGAAAGAGTATTCCATAGTTTGAAGTTGCCAGACCATACTGCCAGTTTGCCAAGCGTGTAAAGCCTATGCCCTATCTTCTTCTTTTTTTAAATGTATTTATTTGAGTACACCCCGTCTTATCACTGTCTAATTCATTGAACTTCTTGAAAATTGAAGAATTATTAAAACTTTTTAAAACATACTACAATGTCATTTTTTTTAGAATAAATAAAGATGCAGAATTCATTATCTAATAAGCCGTCTCCAGCATTGATCGGAATAAGAAAGATAATTTGTGAAGAAATCGTACACAAAAAATGTACTTAGTACTAAATGCTATGCTAATCAAGATCAAAATACGGAAACTATGAAAGTTTTATTCCATGAGGCTGGGTATATATAGCACTATATATCCCAACAAAAACAGGAACGTAATTACATTCTAAAGCTTAGAAAGAAAAATGAAAAAGTAGCTCTGTCAATTCTGATAAAGTCAAGTGCCCAAAAGGGAGCCCTTTTCTTTTAGTTCATTCATGATGCTTGAGGCTGGTTACGAGCCTTCTCCTTCTCCTTCACTTCACTCCCTTGTTTTGTATCATACTCTAACGTAATCATCAACCAACACACATGAATCAGAAAATTGGAATTAAAATTGTAGAGAAGAGGAAATAAATTAAGAAGAAAGGGAACAATAAAAACAAAAAAGAATTAACATGCATGAAAAATGTAATTAGTAGCTTACCAGGAACATTTCCATGGACGATCTTTTCCTCAACATCTTGGTTTCCTCCATAGATCCCTCCAAAACCTTCTTCGTCTGACCTCGTTGCGTATCCTTCTCCAAAGCTGGACATTGTGTCCCTTCCATCCAACAAATACCAATTTCAATATGTTATATATAGTAAACGAAGGCAGTTCTAGGATTTAAACTTGACAAGTTTACATTTTAAAGTTCATAGCACCTAATAATCAAAATCAGGAAATAAGTTGGGACGGAAGGAGTATTTGGAAAAATAATGATGAGTTTAGTTAAACCGTGCATTAATAAAAAAAAGAGGTTGTATCTGCGCCTCTGCTAACAGATGAATGAACACAATTAAATGGATAATCAACTACACACTTACTTAGGTTTGGTCTCAGTTCCAGGTTTCTTGGTCTCGTCCATTTTGATTTCGTCCTGTTTCCCAGCTTCTGTCAACAGAGTCCGGAATTTGATCTGAGAAGACTTTGAACAAATACTGTAATGATGCGAAGGATTTGATGAGAAGACAGCAAGTGGTTGTGCTCTGGTAGCTGATCTGAGGGCGTTGAGCATATTTGCCGTTAGATTGGTATATATATGATTAATTAGATTTATATATATGGTAAAGGTAAATGGAAACTTAGTTAGGAGTGGGATATATAGAGAGGACAAAAGAGATGATGAAAGGGTGATGGATGTTGATCCTTGTCATGCTCCGTACTACAAGTCTCAACTTTCTCGTAGCTTCACACGTATGGTTTTCTTCTGACAGTAAATTCACTCCCACACCTTAGATTTCGCCACACATGTTCTGTTTATCATGTATACATGACACGTTTACACTCATTGCCACAGTTGAAATCGATTGGATGGAATAATAACTAAAAATTCTACTCCATTAACAAATAATAATAATAATAACAACAACAACAACAACCCAGTAAATCCCACTAATGGGGTTTGGGGAGGGTAGTGTGTACGCAAACCTTACCCCTACCACAAAAGAGTAGAGAGTCTATTTTTGAAAGACCCTCGACTCAAGAAAACAAAAAGACAAAAGGACAGAAGGAGACAATATTAGTATCACCACAACAATCATAGGAACACCATGAAATGCAGAAGAAAGATGCAAAGCAAAAGCGATAGCTAGTAAATAGGACATGCACTGAAAAGCGAAGTAGTAAAACACAATATTGTCACTAGTTATCTTAGACAAAAACCCTACCTGACTAGTCCCACAATGGTACGAAGTAAGTCAAGACTCAACTACATCATAACCTATAACTATAATACTCGACCTCCACATCTTCCTATCAAGTGTCATGTCCTCGGAAATCTGGAGCCTCGCCATATCCTGTCTGATCACCTCTCCCCAATACTTCTTATGCCACCCTCTACCTCTTCTCGTGCCGTTCACAACTCCGTACCGGAGCATCTGGGCTTCTCCTTTGAACATGTCTGAACCATCTAAGTCTCACTTCCCGCATCCTTTCATCAATGGGAGCCACGTGCACCTTCTCCCGAATAACATCATTCCTAATCTTATCTATCCTAGTGTGCCCGCACATCCACCTCAACATCCTCATTTATGCTACTTTCATCTTCTGGATATGTGAGTTCTTAACGGGCCAACACTCAGCTTCAAACAACATGGCCGATCTAACCACCGCTTNCTTTATAAAACTTACCTTTGAGTATCGGTGGCACTCTCTTGTCACACAGGACTCCAGATGCTAACCTTCACTTCATCCATCCTACCCCAATACGGTGTGTGACATCCTCGTCGATCTCCCCTCCCCCCTGGATAACCGAACCAAGGTACTTGAAGCTGCCTCTACTCGGGATGACCTGTGATTTAAGCCGTCAACGCCCACTTCCCCTTGCTCAGCGCTGAATTTACACTCCAGGTATTCCGTTTTCGTCCTGCTCAGCTTGAAACCCTTAGACTCAAGAGTCTGTCTCCAAACCTCTAGCCTCTCGTTAACACCGGCTCGCGACTCATCAATCAGAACTATGTCATCGGCAAATAGCATGCACCATTGCACCTCCCCTTGAATATGGTGTGTTAATGCGTCGATCACCAGGGCGAATAAGAACGGACTGAGCACAGAACCTTGGTGTAACCCCATTACAACCGGAAAATGCTTAGAGTCGCCTCCTACTGTCCTAACCCGAGTCTTAGCCCCATCATACATGTTCTTAATCGCCATAATGTAGGGAACCGACACGCCTTTTACCTCCAGGCATCTCCAGAGAACTTCTCTAGGAACATTATCATACGCTTTCTCTAGGTCAATAAAAGACCATGTGCAAATCCTTCTTCCTCTCTCGGTACAGTTCCACCAACCTCTTAACAAGGTGTATAGCTTTTGTAGTCAAATGACCCGGCATGAACCCGAACTGGTTGTCGGATACAGACACTGTCATCCTCACCCTCACTTCAACCACCCTCTCCCACACTTTTATGGTATGACTCAATAATTTGATACCCCTATAATTGCTACAACTCTGGATATCACCTTTGTTCTTATACAATGGGACCACCGTACTCTACCTCCACTCATCCGGCATCCTCTTCGCCTTAAAAATAACATTAAACAACCTAGTCAACCACTCTAAACCTACTCTTCCCACACACTTCCAAAATTCCACCGGAATTTCGTCTGGCCTGGTCGCTCTGCCCCTACTCATCTTACGCATAGCTCCCACGATCTCATCAACCTCGATACTCCTGCAGTACCCAAAGTCACGGTGACTCTCGGAATGCTCCAATTCGCCTAGCACAATATCCTGATCCCCTTCTTCATTCAAAAGTTTATGAAAGTAATTCTGCCATCTCCTCTTAATCTGGACATCTTCCATTAATACTCTACCATTTTCGTCCTTGATGCATCTCACTTGGTCCAAATCCCGAGCCTTCCTCTCTCTCAACTTGGCCAGCCGGAATAACTTCTTCTCCCCGCCTTTTTTACCCAGTTCCTCGGACATACGACCATAAGCCGCAGTCTTAGCCTCTGTGACCGCCAACTTGGCCTCCTTCCTAGCTGTCTTATACCTCTCCATGCATGCTCGCCTCTCCTCCTCATCTATGCTCCCCACTAACTTCAGGTACGCTGCCTTCTTAGCTTTCACTTTACCTTGAACCACGTCATTCCACCACCAGTCTCCTTTATGCCCACCAGAGACGCCCGTCGACACTCCTAACACCTCTCTTGCAGCCTCCCTAATACAATCTGTTGTCGCTGACCACATAGTGCTCGTGTCACCACTGCTCCTCCAAGCTCCCATAGCCAACAACCGCCCCTCCAACTCTTGGGCTTTATCCTTAGTTAAGGCTCCCCACCTGATTCTCGGACTTCCTCGAGTAGACCTTTTCCTCCTCTTTAACATAATACCAACGTCCATCACCAAGAGCCTATGTTGCGTCGCGAGTAACTCACCCGGAATCACCTTACAATCCTTGCACAGTCCTCTGTCACCTCTCCTGAGGATGAAATAGTCAATCTGAGTCTTCGCCACCGCATTTTGAAATAATAATAATAATAATAATAATAATAGTAATAATAATAATAATAATAATAATAAGAGAAAAACAAATTAACTACTTCACTCCGAGCAAGCTAGATGACATGTATCTTTCAATAAATTGGACATTCCTAAGAACTTATTATTCATTTCTCAATCACCTTAATTATTCTCTCTTCTGTTGAATCTTACTAGCATATATAATAGCAAACTTAACACACTTTTTGTTTTGAACAATATCCTAAGAACTTGATGGAGAGAAATACACATAACGAAAGGCACTTCAATATGGGCGGTGTTGCCAGAGATTATATGTCAATGGACCGACTTCAAAATGTTTCTCAAAAGCAATAGAGTTGGTTTACTAGGAATTGGACTATTTGTTTCAAGTGTTTTCCACCAAAAATGGGAGCAACAAATTGGGCCATTAAACACTTGAACCTGAGTAATAATCCTAGGCCCGATGAAATCCTTAACCAAACTGACACATACTTTGATATCAGAAGTCATTACATGGTGAAATTCTTCTTTAGCATTCCTGTAGGTCACACAAGTAGTGTTACTAATTCCAATTAGTGTCATGAATTGGAATTAGTGATTTCCTAATTATTAGTTCAGCGTTGAGTTTAACTGTATATAAGAAAAATTCAACATAATCGTTGTATTACTTTCAACCGTTATAAAGAAACACTTCATAATTCATAAAGAAGTTGCTCTCTTATAATGGGTGCCAATTAAATGGTTAACCATTTTTGGTATTAGGACTATTGTTTTCTGATTTTTTTTTTTTTACAGCTCTGTAATAAGAGGTGTTAGAAGGAAAAGGTGTAGAAATCTCTTGGAGATAATTGATAAAGGTGTTGAACGAAAGTCATTAGGATCGAAGCACAGTAGTAAAAACAAATTTGGAGATCAATTTAAATAATTTCCCCTAGTACGGAAGTGGGTTGCTCTAGTGGTGAGCACCCTCCACTTTCAATCAAGAGGATGTGAGTTCGAATCACCCCAAGAGCAAGGTGGGAGTTCTTGGAGGGAGGTACTCGAGAGTTTATCGGAAACAGCCTCTCTACTCCAGGGTAGAAGTAAGGTCTGCATACAAACTATCCTCCCCATACCCCACTAATGAGATTATATTGGATTGTTTTCGATGTTATCCCTTGTACACAAGAAAATAATTTGCTTGTGATTCATTTACCCATTAAATAATTACCTCACCGATTTGCTTTATTTCTATTATTATATATGCACAAGATCCTTGAATTGTTGAGGGCAAATAATATTTTCGGGAGGTAAAGTTGTTTGAGTGATTATTACTGACTGCTCCAATTTTTACTTTTGGGTTGAACCCTATGATTACCTACCAAAGAAAAAGGAAAAAGAAGATAAGAGAAAAAATTACAGAAGCTGTCTTGACAGTGTTGGACCAGTCGACCGTTGGATCAGAATCTGGCGTCACCTACCCTACTCAACGGACCCTCCTTTAGAAAAACTAACTCACAGACTTGTGATTTCTGTGCCAAATTCAATTCATAAATAAAACACCTACGTCCTGGGACCAAGAATACAACATGTCATGCACGTGGCACATGACTTTCATCCTCGTTAATCAAACGTAGGTAAACCTGCTAATCCAGGTCGCCAAATGTCTTTTCCAGTTTTCTTTAAGTATATTCACTTTAGTTTTGGTGCAGCCACAAAGTCTTTTCAAGTCTGACGCTGTTTTTAATTTTGTGAGTACCACTCCCACACTGATCAGTTTTTGAAATAAGAGCTTCAGAAAACTACAGAGAGAACAGATTTAGCTTCAATCTAAAGGGGGCACTTTTATCGAGCTCGGTGGATCGTTATCATCATTGTCAATTTTTAAATTGTCAGACCGACTTTTTCCAGTGGAAATGCAGAGTACCCTATAATCTAATCGGCTCTGCGTCGTATTAGCCGTCTTATTGCTAGTAAAGTGCAGAGTTACCCACCATAATTTAATCGGCTCTGGGTCGTATTAACAGTCTTGGATTCGACTGGATTCGGTAATTTTATTTTGAATTATGTACGTATACATTTATGAAAAGTTAAACATGTATAATAATAATAATAATAATAGAAATAATTAAATTATGCTAAGTCTGCTATAGAGTATAGACCAGTTCCATTTAAGTCTTGAACCACAATGTCCACCTATTAGAAGATCACCTTAATTAAACTCGATGAGATAAGATAAGAGGGGTTGCTCCAATGGTCAGCATCCCACTTATAACTCCAGGGTTATGGGTTTAAATCACCAAAGAAGATCAAAGGGGAAATTAAAGGGCTGGATAGAAGGAAAAAAAAACTCACCGAAATAATGCATTTTGATCGACGAATTTTAGAAAATTGTTTTGTAAATGTTACCGTTTATATCTTTTTCTAAATGTCATAACTCATAACCATTGACTCTTGATAGCCGTATCAGTTCTTTTCAGTGTTTCAATTTTTTCTACTACCAATACCAATTCATGGCCCATTATGCTATGCAACTTGTCCTACATTTTCCTCAGCAATTCAGAGAGGCAGTAGTAATCAAAGCGCACTATGGATGGTCCAAAATTAGAGCAAACAATGTAAGACTACAGCTGACCCAAGCTCTCAGTCTCAGGCTGTGAATTTGGTGTTTCAGTCAAATAATTAGGCCCCCTACCACCTTCTACGTTTTGCAAAAGAGCACGCCTCTTCTTCATCTGTTGCAGCTGCTTCCCCACTTCATGACAGAAACTGAATAAATGAGTGAAAGATAGAGAGATAGAGTAATAAGGGTACTACACTCTGAATTCATTTCAGAGTGAAAGGAACTGCCATTAATATGTTTCCATAAATCAAGTAGTACTATTTCTACTATACTAGCACAAGACTTGCTAAAAAGGAATGACTTTACTAGGGGTGTAAGGCTTCCTGAATGAAAGATTTTGGCAAATCAGTAACGAAACAACTGCTCAAGAAAAAAGCTGTTTTTATTTTTCTAGCCCACAGGTTTTACTTAAAAGTCATTGTCAATGGAATTTCCATCGCAGAACCTGAGAGAAAAGGACGTTCTTCAATTCGATTAAAACCTCATCTAATCATTTAGTCGTTTAGTCCATCAACCTTCACTAATCGTGCAAGCAACAAAATGCTACCCCCCTCCAATTCAAAAAGAGTGTCTACTTAACCATTTGCATCCCCTTTAAAAAAATATTAACTTCTAAATAAAAATAGGTAATTTAACAAAACTGTCTCGGATTAAATATGTGTAGAGATTTGGTCACTTACACTTAATAAGGGCATTTTGAACCAAGAAAAAGCTAAGTGGACCCTCTTTTTGAACTAGAGGGAGTAATATGGACTGTACGTCTGTACCACAGCAACAATAATAGACCAAATTCACTCTAATTATAAAGTAACCATTAGTGAAATTCACTTGACAAGTTAAAATTGGACCCTGGAAATAAAATCAGTTAACTAATTGTACATTAATAATTCACAAAATATGCACAATTACAGTCGATTTCCTCCTAGTGAACACCATACCTACCCAACAACCCAGAAGATGCAAAAACAAAACCTAATAACTACACAAGAAAACAAGATATCTTTAGAAAAAAGAGGACACCAAACAGTACACCATTCATGAAATTAACAAGGTGAGTTGCTGTTCCAGATTCCAGGGAGCTCAAAAATATCATCTTTCTATACTAACTTTAATTACTCTACGAGGAGCAATGAAATTGAAATTAAGCACTAAAAAAAGTACTTAACAGAACCAGGCCACATAATTGATTTGTAGAATTAGTGCCAAGAAGAAACAGTCAAAAGAGGCTTATCATTCCAAGCCAAGGAGAGAAACCCAGGTGGAGAATCAATTAACCCATATGATGAACTATAATTATAGTTCCAAAGAAGAATTTTTGCTTGACTCATAGCATAATGACTAAGTGTCACTTCTTTAAAACCTGCCCCTTCCATTAATTCTTTCCAATGTTCTTTATCTTCCATACATTCTCTTCTGGTTCCAGCTTCCTCTGTTCCCACCGCTCCGGCAATTCTCCGGCCAAGTATCAGTCTTTCCACTTCTACTCGCTCCGGCGAATCTCGGGTCAAACTCGGATCTAGTGACTCAAAAACTGTGGAGTAGTAATTCAAAGCATTCTTAAACCGCTGAAGAAATCCAACGTTGTTCAAATTCACCTCGTACTCGCCCAATGTCACTATGCTTGGATTCAATGACTTCGCTAAATTGAGTGCAGTTTTAACACTAACACTCGTCTCGTCCAATAAATTGTACAGCTGTAACATGAAATTTACAGATAAAGTTTCATCTGGATCGATTCGAAAACTAGACTCGTTTAGCTCCTGAACGGGTGTAAGTATCGGCTCGAATTCGAAGTTAAGATCCAGAAGCTTCGCGAAGTCACGGAGACGGTTTCCGGTAGCTAAAAGTGAAGCTGCCGGAGAGTTGCCTAATACCACCGATGGAATGCCGGAGATTCTAATACTGACTGGTTTTCCAGCTGATCTAGTGGCTAAAGCTTGTAAAAAAGCAGCCCATTGAATCCCATGAACAATGCCAAAATCTACTATGTGAATCCTCGTTGCTTTTTCAGTTGCTTCAAGAATAGCCTGATTAGCCGTTAAATGAGCAAACTTTGAGTACGGACATGCGTCGTTAAAGGCTTTGTAAGACAAAGTGAGCTCCTCTGGAGTGTAAGTACTAAATATTGAAGGACTTCTCTCTGTTTGACACGAAAGCCTACTGTAAAGAGCTTCTAAGAAATAGAACCCGACCCGCTCCGTCGGATCTCCTTGTTGGGAAACTAATTCCTCGAGTCGAATCAATGATTTTACTGCATTTTCTGGCTCTGAGTCGGCAAGTCTTGCACATTCCAGTAAAGATTTCAACAATGGTTTTGAGGAGAAAGTTTCAGGGGAACTACAGGGCACATCAATTGAGGCCACCTTGGATTCTTTATGAACAACTGGAGGAGAAGAAGATGGGGGGACCCATGGTTGTAATGGGTTGAGATTTTTTTGGGTTTCCGAAAAAATGACTCCATTGAGATCGGAAGTAGGAGGAGGAGGAGGAGAAGAGCCAATACTGAGTCGATTCGGACAACTCGAGAACGGATCTCCGTAAAGAGCAGCGAACTCGGAACTCGTATGCCACGGGTAAGAACCAGACTGAAGATTGGAACTTCCAGTAGAATCTCCACCGCCAATCAAGCTCTCCATCCACTCGTCCGAGTCAAACTCACCGCCCGGTCCACCGCTAAAATCAGTGAATCTAAACCCGGTCGAGTGGTGTTCCAGGTTCGGGAACTGAAATCCCGGTTCGCCGCCGTCTGGGCCTCCGGCTACGACCTGAAATGGGTCGGTGAAACCCGGTCCAGTAAGACCACCATATCCTAAAGTGGGACTGTTGGTTAAGCTCTGGTGAGTTCCAGTCCAGGGGCTTAAGCATAATGGATTGACACCACCCAAGAATTGCTGATGCTGCTGCTGTTCTTGTTGTTGGAGCTGCTCTTGCTGCTGCTTTTGCTTTATAACTTGCTGAGCTATTGCCATTAGATTTCCACTGTCCGTACACATGTATGCTGCCATTCTCCACCCAATATCTTGCTAGCTTAATCTACGCTACTAAATATACATTACCTCAAGAAATTGCTGAGGTCGCAAGATTGAGTGGACTAAGAGAGAGAGAGAGAGAGAGAGTTAAGAAAAAGGGGATAGTGCACTAATCTATTGAGTGAGAAGGTCTCCTCTTAGCTTTAATTGACGAAAGCTCAACTTTAGAAGGAGGACAAAGTTTTTGTTTAAGCCCATCTGTCACTTACTATTTTAATAGTAATAGTTTTTCTTTCTCATTTAATATGTGTATTTCGTTTTGAGATGTAAATTGACTTATATATTATTAAAATTAAAGTATGATCATGGGCGGAGATAGAACATTACCTATAGGTTCGGTCGAACCCAGTATCTTTTGTCCAATTGTGTATTTATTTTTAAAAAATTATTGAATATATATACAACAACAACCTAGTAAAATTTTACAAGTGCGAGTTTGGGGAGGATAGTGTGTACTCAGACTTACCCTTATCTGATGGAGTAAAGAGATTGTTTCTGATAGACCATCGGCTCAAGAAAATAAAAAAGAGGAAAAGAGACGATATAAAATTGCAAGAGCTGCAACTCTAACTCTAGACATGCAACTTAAGACAAACCCGCTTAAGCCATCAAACTAAGAATTTGTATTCTCTTTGAATATGTATAATTTATTAATTTAGTACTCATTAACTTAAATCGATTAGGTTTCTCGAACTCATAAACTTCAAATTCTGTCTTTGCGTCTGAGTATGATGAATGTGATATTATTATAGAAAACAGTTCTAATTTATGTGAGATGAGATTAAATTTCTAAAGATGTGTAAAATAAAACATTGTTAATTGAGGCGTTTCTAAATAAAAGATAGTGTCATAAAAGCTGAACGGAAACGTATGAGTCTTATATTTTGTTTGGCTTTAAATTTACATTTACTTTCCTCTTCTAAAAAACAGACTACTCAAGCTCTTCATCATTTATTAGAGTTTCGGACATAAAACATCACTTAATTTAAACTTTTATTGAGAACTTCTTTTAAGTATTCGCGTAGTACGATACATCAGTTTACAAAAGAAAACAAAAAGGTCCATTTAATGTGCCTTTCAAATTTACAGAAGTAAGTACAAATCGAACAACTGATAAAAAATCCTACTTCAATCTATTCCGTAAAAACATTTTATGCAAACTTTAAGGGATCATTCTCATGATAGAACGTGAGAGTAACACGTTTTACTGTGACAAAATATGAAGTGATGATCATCCCGAGATATGCACTAACACCTTTGACATGCACTACAACCGTCAAACGCTCGTGAAAGTTTTATTTTCAAAGTTATTTTAATAAAGATAAGGTTAAATTTAAAAATAAAAGTTACCTAATGTTATCTAATATAAAATCAAATATATATTTTATGTTATACCACCTATTATTTCAATGACTCAAACATTTTCGAATAAAAATACAGTTACTAAATATTCTCATTATTTTTTAGTTTCATACTATAATCCCCACTTTATAATATCAATATAACTTGTTCCCAAATCAAATAACTCATGTGTTTATCTCCACCCACCTCATCTACCAATTGACTACCAATAACTATGATCACTCTATTTTTACTGTCCTATAATTCTTCATTGTCATTTGTCAACTAATTAAAATCAAGATTTTGAAGACAATAATTAGTGTCTGAAATCCATTTATTCTACGTTTATGCCAAAATCACAGTGAAAAAAAATGGAAGAATCTCAAACACATGTTTTGAATAGTCAAAATAGGCTTGACTCATAAGACCAAACTAATTCGCTAATTTTATGACACCGGATTATAAATTTTCTAGCCCATTTGAAATTGAAGCATTTTGCTCAGCTCCAATCAACCCGTTGGCCTCATGGAATGAGCTGCTTTGTGCGGCCAAACATTGAAAAGGTCGTGAAAATTTCAACAGATAATTAAAAAAAAATTATAAACTTTATACTAAACTCGAGGAACGTAACAGTACTTGTGCTTTTGAAATAATTTGATTATTCCTAGAAAAACCCCTATTTCTTTCATTAAGTAATTGAATGTGTTCAACTATTCTCTCCAGAATTTATTTATTCACATCTTGTTTGGAAGGTTAAATAAAAATAGAGCTTTGATAACAAATATTAAAAATTTGAAAGCGTTTGAAGGAAGAGTTGCAATTGGTCTGAATATTTTTTCTTCGTTCTTATTAAGACTTGTGTATCTACAAATCATCATATTTCCTTAATATTTCTTAATTTCTATGTTTTAGTTGATATGCTTGCTAATCGCTTACAACGATAATCTTACTAATTTCTTTTACTTGTCATTGTTTTAAAACCAATATTCTAGTGGAATGAAATTAAAAAACTCTTATAAGGAGGTCAAAAACCAATATCTCAACTTGTTAATTCAATTTTTATTTAATTTTACTTTAAATACAATGGATGTAGAAGTAAATTTGCTCAACCTTGCTGTTACCATTTTCTTGTGGACAATATAAAAATGATGTAAAGAGAGTCAAAATAGTCAATACAAATTTCATTGAGAAAGGGATGCACAAAAAATCTAATAATGGAAATGCAATGATGGTTAAGCCTATATAGTCCTCAGTGGCTGAATCGTGCATGACGTGGCGCCAGTAAGGAGTGGGTGCCATGTTTCCGTGATATGAAAACTCCATGTCATTAACGTCCACGTGTACGCAACTTTCCTCCCGCTCTGTTCGGGGAACTTTGTGTTTCACTGCGGGGCCTACTCTTTGTTCCCACATTTGAATACGACACGTCAGTATACGGCGGGTCCACATCGCTGTCTCGTGACCTCATTGATTATCTAATCTTTCTGGAAGTCAGCATGACTTGATCTTCACCGTCCATTCTGAAATCTACGGCAATAACTATATTCCTCATTACGTTCGTGTTTCTACCTTTCAACTATTTTCGCACTGAATTTTCAGCCTCCACCACCACCACCCTCCCTTTTTTTTTTTTTAATTAAAACTATTTATATTTGATAGTCTTTTTTTTTTTTTATATAGAACATACAAAATGTATATATATAAATAAAATATATATTTTTTAATTATTATTTTAAGAACGATTATACAGTATTATTTTTCCTTTTTCCCCCTTATAAAAGTCATTAAAACTTATACATCACAGAAAGTTAAAAAAAAATCTCTAAGAACATAAATTACAAAATTAATTAATAAATCACCTATAGTTAAATAATAAAAGTATATCGTACATTTATTGACAACTTAAAAATACAATGAAAACGAATGCCTATATTTTACACATTGCCTCCTAATCTCTTTACTACAAAAGTTGCTGAATGTGACTCCAGTGTATAGTGGTTAATGAATAGATAATTTTCCGGAAAACCATATAAAAATGGTAAATGTAAAAACTTTTGCTTATTCTCAGAGTTGAGGAATAGGAAAGTGCAGTTTCCTAGTTGGAGCCAAGTGTAAACATTTCAATTTTTATACTGGATTTGCCTGCTGTGTAAAATTCAGTAGATTTTTGACCAAGAAAGTAAAGAAGGTTGAGCAACTTGTGGACACGTCAGCAAATGAGTCAGCTCTGAGCTGGTATCGTACCTCTATTGGTCAAACTGTGGCTAGAGGGTGAAAAAAGGTGAAAACGAAAGGTGATGGAAAAAAAAATGGAAGGTTGTTAAAAAAGGAAAAGAAAAAAGAAGTGAAAAAAAAGGGAGATAATCTGATAACGTTGAAATGTGTTACGTTTCATTTTGGTCGGTTTTTGGGTCCGTTACTAGTGGGCCCATTCCTGCCGCAAGATGAAAAGGGAAAGTGAGAAAGACGGGACCAATTTGGGGAGAAAGTAACGGTACGTGATATTTTGACGGGGTGATTACAGAGCCTATGCCCAAGTGATAATAACAGCCAAATCCATCATTAATATGACTTATTTTTTTCCTTTTCCTTTTTCAAGAAAGATGGTCCGTTAGAAGTGGAAGAGGAATGTATGTATAGTTAGCATTTTAACCCTACATCAAATGGAAAATTGGAGGTTCTAAGAATATCAATTTATATTGAAACCATAAAACAATCTATCTCATAAGAAGGTAAGATTATGTATCGTGATTATAATTCTAATTAATTTCGAAATAACTAATTTTGAACCAAACGACCCCTCATTGACTTTATAACAACGGTTGCAATTGATAAGTTATGAATTGTAACCATTAGATAGTAGCTTTACCTGAATTGTTCAACAATATATAAATGAGTGAGTTGGTAGCTATACTAGTCAATTTCATCTTAGTTTTCATGTTTCGGCTTCCTTTTATGTCTAGCTCGATGGAGATAACTGATCACAAATACAGGGAGTTAATGCACTTACAACGGAAGAAAAGAAAAGACAAATAATAATAACAATATCATCAAACTGAGAATGTAAAGAGAGGGGCCAGTGCGTCAATGGGAAGGGTATGATTGAAGGAGGACCACCTTCGAACTATTAAAAGAATCGTATATTAATAATAATTATTTTTGACATATTAGTAATACTAGTAGCACACATGCACTTTCATGTTCGTACATCTTTCTTACGTATTCAGTTATCGTATTTTTTGATTGATACTGTTTGATACTACTATTTTTCTATTCTCTTTCGTCTTTTTCATCTTCTTTCTTCTTCTTCTTTCTTCTTCTCACCTTTTCCTTTTTCTTAGTCGAGAGTTTATCGAAAACAATTTCTTTACATTCACTAGATAGGGGTAAGGTCTGCATACACATTATCCTTTCCAAATGTTTGTCTTTTGACATCAATTTTTGGAGGTGTTTACCCGAAAATTCGGATAACGTTAAATTTAGATATGGTTCTAAGGGTATGCAAATTTCTTTGATATAAAATGACAATACAGGTATTTTTGCTGTGAAAATGGAAAATGATGGAAGGGAAGACTGGAAAATATTAGAAGAACAATCACAATGAAATCTTAATCTCCTCTCCCTATTGCAGTCTATCTCCCCCTTTATAGTAGAGGGTCACTACTTTATTTGTAACAACATAAAATAATACATATAGTGGAGAACCCATGATGGTTTGTCTCTCCCTTGATTCTCGCCAAGATTCTCTCCCTTGGTGCGGTTGTAACGGCTCTTGTCTTGCGAGCTTGGCACTGACTCGAGCTTGGTGCTAGATCGAATCCCCAGTCTTAGTTCGAGCTCGGTTCTGCCTTGGAGCATCGATAT